CACACACACAAACACACACATACTGGCACAAAACACCCAGACATACCACATGTACTGACGTGCAAACACATCATACACAAATACCCCAAACGTCACTACTTACATCCTCTAATTTACCATGTCTGAAAAGCTAAACAGAAATATTTCATTACTGCAGACATGGGCTGCCTATCGATGAATGAAGCCAAAACAGAAATATCCTTCTAATATTTAGGAGAACACGCTTCTAGAACATGTTACAATTAATTATTACATGACGGCCAAGTCGTTTTTGAATCAGTGTAAAAAAAAAACAATCGGTGAAACTGAAGCAAAATCACAGCGATGGAAGCATTAATTTGTAGAGCTGGAAAACACAAAGAAACTTTCACGAATCCTGTCCTGAACAGCTAAGCGATTTGAAAGCAAATGAATGTCCTAATTTTAGATTAGACCTGTGCAACAATAGGCCAAACTGTTACACCGTAAAGTTATCGGCCCCACAATGCTTCATCAAGTTCAAATTTCCGGTTCCGCTTGTAATATTCCATTTTGCTATTGTTGCAATCGATACGTTACAATTTTATAACGAGGCTTTCGAGGGTATCTTGTATTCCACTCCAGTCGCATTGTCAGATTTGTACTGAGTTCCCCTTGTGTTATTCTTCTCTCTCTCATCTCGATTTTCTGTCTGTCTGTCTGTCTGTCTGTCTGTCTGTCTGTCTGTCTGTCTGTCTGTCTGTCTGTCTGTCTGTCTGTCTGTCTGTCTGCCTCTCCCCCCTTTCCCATTTCGCCTCTCTCTCTCCCTCTCCCTCTCTCTTTCTCTCTCTCTCTCTCTCTCTCTCTCTCTCTCTCTCTCTCCCTCTCTCTTCTTTTCAGCTGGCCATATTTTTACATCTTTGTCTGAGTGTCTACGCATCTATTTCACAATCTGTTATGGGCTTGTCTATCTATTACTTTTCTTCATCGTTTCTGCTCTGGCTCTTTTAACGTCATCTTCACGTCATCTTTTTCTTCTTTCTTTTTATTGTTGTCTGTGTCAATCTGTCCATCATTGTCTGAGTTAACTTATGTCATCTCTCCTTTTCTTGTTTTTCATCTGTTCATGCCCATTTGTATATGTCTGATTCAATCAATATCTGCCCGTCTGTCCATATCCCCCTCCCTTTAAAAAATAGAAACCTAGAAAACCCTGTCTCGCCCTGTCTGTCTGTCTGTCTGTCTGTCTGTCTGTCTGTCTGTCTGTCTGTCTGTCTGTCTGTCTGT